AGTGTCCTAAATTGTGCTAACCAAGTCCAATTTCAGAGAAGTTTTCTACTACTTCGTTCAGGTAGAATTCTCAACCAAATTGAACCAAATAAATCTCTATTCTATTATACTCATCCATCTAATTCTCACACTTCTTACAGTTTTCATTTTCATTGAGAATTGAGAGAGATACTTGGAATTTTCATGCTCTCTATTTTTTTTTCTGGTTTTTCTCAAATCCAGCCTTGCACAACTTATATAAATTTGGCGCGACGATACCATTAGAATCGTCTTAAAGAGATGAATCTAATGGTACCAGTCTAGTTCTCTAATTTTACAGTTTGCGAAACTCCAATTTAGGGCGTCTATAGGTTGAAGACGACCTACGTGTTGCGCTTCAGCCAATGATAGCATGACATATGATTTTTTGAATCTTACCCAGTGCACTTGTCTTGACATATGTGCGTCTTAAGGACCATTGGATCTGATTACTTTTGTTAGTCAGACTTCATCCAACGCGCCATATTTTAAGTTACTTTTAATTATTAAAAAATGATTTGATGTGATTTCCAAAGATGATCATATTATGCACAACGTATCAGATCCCTTGAATATGCTTACTAACACGTTTTGACATTAATCTAATGGTCCACATTTTTTTGGCTTTATTTATATTTTCAGATTTTTATATTTAATTGTTTTGAACTTCAAAAAATTATAGAAAATTCATTTCTGACTAAAAAATTATGAAAAAATTCACAAAAATATTTTTAAATATTCTCTTTATGACTTTTATTTTATCATAATTTTATTTTTTATGATTTTTTATTTTTGTTTTGAATTGTGTTGAATTGTTTAAAAATACTTTTTGATATTTTTAAGTTCTGGAAAAATTCATCAAAATTATTTTCTTTATTTCTGACTTTCTGGAATTTCTATAGAATTTTATTCTGATTTTTACTATCTTTAATCATTTTTCACTTACTTGAGTGATTTTAAATAATGTGAAAATACTTTTCTGTTTTACAAAAAATACTAATTTTTTTGTAAAAATACTTGAGATCATCTCTGGCCTTTCTATGTTTTCTTTTAATTTCTATTTGATACTTTGAATATATTTTATTATTTTGCCTTTTATTTTCACTTAAAAAACAATTTAAAAATCATTTTATTTTATTTTAATATTTATTTTGCTTATTAAATGCAATTTTATTTTTGAATATATTCTGTCTGAGCTTGAACTATGTAATTTTTGATCATGAGCTTCATTAACATCATCGAATCTTGGGTGTTGAGTTTAACTCCACCAAAATGGATGTGTGATTTTAATGATAGTTTAATTAAAATCTTTGGTTCAAATATTTACCCTCCCTCTTCATCTTATTTCTTTCTTACTTGTGCTACATGTTGTTAGAGGATGATCTACATATCATTTCTCCAAACATATGGTATATAGATTGCTATTGACCTGTCTCAAAATATGTGTAACTTCTATATAAGTCCACTTACGATTGCTTAATACAATGCTAAATTTCGTCCCGATTCGAGAAATGATCATTCGTGGCCCAAACTTATGTTTGCAAGCCCATGTATGTTAATTCGAAAACTTTGATCCAATAACTTTGGGGTTCATTGTTATGAGGCTTTGGTCTTATCAATCCTCTAATGAACCGTCATAAACTTTGGTCTAAGTGAATCATTTAAACATCGTTGATCATTTGTTGTTGCCTTGAGAATTTGAAATGAATGATATACTTGACAAAAAGCAAATGAAACTTGTTGTTGAGAAGCTTTGATTTTATCGATCTTCTAATGAGTTTTCAAATGCAAGTTTCAAAATAGTCATTCAACTAACCTCTAATTTCTAACTCACTAACAATTGACTTTTATTTTATATTTTTACTTTATATCTTTACTTTTACGCACCATTTATTTTAACATTTACATTTCATGCTATTTTTTGCTCACTTGAATATTTATCTTTATGTCATTTTTTTACTTTGCTCACTTGAGCTTTCATTTTCTTTTTGAAGATACTTAATAATGAACTTGAACAATAAAAAAATTTAAGGTTACATGGACTATTTGGTTACTATCCTTGGTATTATGAAGTTATGGACCTCTTCGACTTAGGATTGGAAGCCTTGACTACCCTTGGGACCTTGTGACTCCTGTTGTTATTTTGTCTGGAGTTCTTGGGGTTTACCTCAAGACACTGGGTTGATTTTTCTTTGTGTGCAGGATATTCTGATTATATGCTTTGGTTGTGATTGGGAATGCCTTTGTATACAATTGTTACTCTGCCCAATATTTTTGAATACTTAATGCATCTGAAGCTTGGTATTCTTAAGAGGTTTAGTATCCTTGTTTGCTTGGTTTCAATCCAAAGAATGAGAATTCTACATTGACTCATTGTGTCAAGTGTTAACTTCTTGTTGGTTAGACATTTCTTTTCCCTAGCTTTTACCTTATGCTTTAGGATAGTCCCTTCATCTCCTCCCATCTTCTTTAATTTCAAAAATCTCCTCCCTCCTTTTCAAATTCTTCTTGTTTTCTAACTTGAACCGCTTTCACAATAAACTCGGACTTAGATCCATGTATTTTCAATAATATTTTCTTAATCAAACTTTTAATCAACTTAATTATACTTTGACATTTTTATGAGAAGACTAAAAGTCAATCAATCTCATTCAAATCATTTTGCCACTTTGGCTTTTCATTTTAAAATTTTCTCAAAAGATTAGATTCTTGTCTATCCTTGTAGTGATGTGAACTACTATACTTCTATGATATGTAGTAAAGTGAGATATTTTTCACTTGGGTGTTGAGTGAGGCTTTGTTGATTTTAAAATCAAAGCTATATCCTCCATTTTGAGATGATGCAAATTCTCCCTTCTCATAATCGTGGGTAGTAAGTATGTTTTCCACTCTGATATGACGATGAAGTCTTATCTCTTAAAAATAACCAACACACTTGTGTTTTAAGATATTTAAAGGTGAACTACGAGTACCCTGATCCCCTATTGCACGGAAGGTGGTACGTAGGCACTAAAAATTTGCAACCGCGACAAGTGCAAAAATTGTGAAAAAATATATACTTATTTTCTCATCTTCACCATCTATTTTTGTATACAACATTTATAGCCAAAATACACAAATTTTCAAAGAGGTTTCTATGGAGTACCGTAGATGTTTAGGGTGCTAATACTTTCCCTTTGCATAACTAACCCCCGTACCTAGATTCTCTCCCCCTATCTTTTTGGGTTATTCGCTCTTTTCTCTTTCCTCTGGAAACAATCAAGCGCGGTGATGATTTTTATTTGATCTGTGCGAGTCAAGTCAATCTAATGGCTTAGTCTCAACATTTTTACCGCCACAGAAAAATGGAGACTTCACTGGGGAAAGATCGACCAAATGTGGGCCTATCTCTAAATGGGTTGAGCCTATCTTTGCTTATTTGTGTATATGCTATTATTTGTTGTATATTACATGTTGTATATGTGTTTGTCTGGATTTTTCTGATTTTCAGGGTGCTTGGTGACTTCTCATAAGTCCTCTACCCGGATTTGGATAAATTTAAGATAAGACAGATGGTATAGTCATGTTAATTTTGAGGGAGTAATCCCAAAAAAGAAGACATGAGATCCCCCACTCAGTGGAAGCCCCTTTGACTGTAGTATCGTTTATCTTGAATTATAAAAATAAAAATGAGTTACATACTTCATCCATATTATCTCGAATGCATTAAATCTTAATAATGCGAAATGGACGTGTTATTCCTAATGTTTTTTTTTTAAAAAATATTTCTTGCTCTAGGGCTAACCTCCTTATTTATACTAAATAATCTTTTCTACATGCACGACAAATTGCCTTACTTAAGAAAAACTATTTTAAAATATTTGATTTTGACATTTCAACTGTATTTGATCTTCACTATTTGAGTTCATGTTTTTAAAGCGTATTTTCTATTTTCTTTTGGATCTATCTTGAAATCTCTCCAAAACTAGTTTGTTGCGTTCTCTTCAATATATCTTCTCGAATTCATTTTTTAAAATTTTAAATTTTAAATATAATAGACCATCCGTTTCTTTTTAAGTGTCATTTTAAAAGAATTTTTTTTCTTTTTATTTAAATGTTATTTTTATAATTTAATAATATAATTTGTCAGTTATACCTTTACTTTCTCAATAACTATATTTCATATTTTCTATAAAATTAATTATTTTCTTAATTAATTATTAAAAAAAGAAAATAAATAAAAGTATAATATAAAAAAAACTCAAATAATTCACTATTTTAATATTTCTTTAATTTATACACAATATTTAGTAAAGAAAAATTCTTTTTTTTCTAGTAGGATTTGTTCAACTTCAATGATCTTTTAGACAATAGTTATATATTCAAATCTCAATGGATTTTCATGATTTTTGATGCAATAAATTCGTCTCCTAATCTATTACCACAAGAGTTAGTTTGATCAAATCCCTTATATCTAAGCACCCCCTGAATTAGAGGAAAACCATGATAACATCATAAATAATCTAAGTCATGACCATTGTTGTTTCAAAACTAAAATTCTCCCAAATTAACAATCCATTTTAGAAGCTTAAACACTTGCTAGAAAGCTAATGAAATATCCTAGAAGTTGTAAAAAAAATCAGCCAAATCCATTCAGCACATCTCTAGTTATGACCACAACAATCTAGCTTAAAAGCACAACCAACACCCCCCAAAATTATCATGTGGAAAAACATTCATTTTTACTCTCCACGGATCAATAAAAACCAACCGTCGATAGTAGCCCCATCGAAGGGCTCACATTAAAGCTAGAAGAAGGCATCGATCCTTGTCGAGTTCCCTGAACCAATGAGAATTAAGCAACCGAATATCATCCCAAACACACTTCACTATTTAAACAATCTAAATTCTAAACCTTTTTCACGCAACAAGTTTAATACTCACTAATTAGAAGTCTCTCGCAGTCATCAATTTCTTTTCATACACGTTCAATTAGTTTTACCATGGCCACAGAAGAACCAATTGTCGCGGTGGAATCAGTTCCCGAACCAATTGTCACCGAACCGACCGTCACCGAGCCTGAGGTCCCGGAGAAGGATGAACCAACTGGTGAAGTAGAGAAGACCAAGAAAACGAAGGAGTCCAAGCCTAAGAAAGCTTCCAAACCACGAAACCCTGCTTCCCATCCTTCTTACGAAGAGGTTTCACTCAATTCACTTCTATCATTTCAATTTCTCGTCTTTAATTTTGTTATTCTCTTATTTTCAATTGGATCTGATATCTGATTTGTTTATTGAATTTCAGATGATTAAGGACGCGATAGTCTCGCTGAAGGAGAAGAGTGGCTCTAGCCAATACGCGATTGCGAAATTCATTGAAGAGAAACACAAGCAGCTTCCTGCCAACTTCAAGAAGCTATTGCTTCAAAATTTGAAGAAAAAAGTTGCATCTGGAAAGCTTGTTAAGGTGAAAGGTTCGTTCAAGCTTTCTTCAGCGGCTAAGAAGCCTGCCGTCGCCAAGCCGAAGACAAAGCCAGCTGCAAAGGCAAAGTCTGTGAAGGCTAAGGCAGCCGCTAAGCCAAAAGCTAAAGCTGCTGCCAAGCCAAAGGTTGCTTCAAAGGCCAAAGCTGTAGCAGCCAAGCCTAAAGCCGCTGTTAAGCCCAAAGCTGCTGCCAAGCCTAAAACTGTTGCAAAGTCCAAAGCAGCTGTGAAACCAAAGCCCAAGGCTAAACCTGCAAAAGTTGCAAAAACATCGACGAAGACGGCACCAGGAAAGAAAGTTGCTGTTGCGAAGGCTGCACCTAAGAAAGCAGCTGCCGCAAAGAAAGTTCCCGTGAAGGGTGTGAAGGCTAAAACCGTAAAAGCACCAGCAAAGAAGGCTACCGTTGTGAAGAGAGGGGGAAGGAAGTGAGAGTCTACTGTCTTCTGAGCTTTAGCATTGTAAAGATTTTTCGGTTTACCCCGTTTGTAATACTAATATTTTATATTGGAGCTTTTTAATTATGTAAAACCTTTTTGGTTTTGTTTTCCATCTCATCGAATTAACTATGTAATCTGGGCAGACTTTGAAAATTTTCATGAAAGTACAAAGCATTTCATTTCATCTTGCAAACGTGTTTGTTTTCTTATTTATATAATTGTTGATCTTTATTTAAAAAATTATTACATATGTTATTAATAACTCCGAAAATGATGAAACATATTAATGCTTAATAATTAAATACACGTTTAATTATTAAAAACACGTGAGAATGATGTTGAACTCAAGGATCTGAATTAAAATTGATAAATACGTAATGTTGATCGGTTGAAGTTGAAATCAATATTACAACAAATAATTAATAGTAGTAGTGTTAAATATAAATAACTCAATTTTTTTGTATGCAATTTAACTCTATTTCATTGCATGATTCTGAAAATTGATGTTACTGTTGTTAATAAATCCTTTTATTTTGTATGTGACTTCCTTTCATAAGGGTTAATAATTCTTGAAATTTAATTGTGACTTTTACTTGTTTTTTTGTTGTTGACATTTTGTTATGTGTGAAAAGATTATAAGTTGGAATTCTCAACAATTTGAGGAATCTCTCCATTTGTTATTCTCCATCGGTTTTAAAGTTTTTGCACTCATATTAATGACTACAATAATGTTGTCATACAATTTATAAAATTAACATTATTAATATATTAAAAATAGAATAAACTAAATGATACAATTGAAATTTTTTTAATTATTAAATTGAAAAATAAAAATAATTATTAATTTAAAACAAATTTTATTTATTAAAATAATAATCATTTTGAAACGGGAATGAATACTCTTACTCTTCACTGAGCAATTTGTTTTGACTTTATAATCAATCAATTTAATAAAATTATATTTTTATGCTTAAATTTTTTTCATGTTCCACTTAAAATATTTGCTTGATTCAGAATTTAGATATTTTATTTATGAAATTTAAATCATTTTATAATTTTTTTTATATAGTTGATAATTAATCAATGTAAGAATTAGATACTAGTTCAAATCACATTTTTTTTATTTAAAAAATTGCATTAAAAATGAGATTTATGTGTTTATTTTATAATTAAAGTCATATAATATGATACAGTACGGTTTATGGTTTACTCTTTACGTTTAGTTTATGAATATTTTTTTTAGATAACATATTTTAAAATTTATCAAAGTTCAGGCTCTATACACAAAGATGAATGTCATTTTGCTATTTGATTGTATTCAACATCTTTCAAACGATTGTAATTTGTTATTTGATTGTAATCAAGGAGAAATCAATTGATATCTTTTCAACTCTTAATTTATATAATTGTAATTAGAGGTGATAAAACGAGCTAAATACCGAGCTTATCTGAGCTAAATATCAAAATTTCAAGATGTACATGAGCTCCCAAAGCACGAGGTGTGTAAGAGTGAAGTGGTTTGAGTTTATCCCGGATAACATAAACTAGACATAAACATATTTTAGGTTTACGCTTTTTGATCTAGTAAGCTCTTGTAAATTCGTGGTCTTGATGATAGATCAATTCCTAAGGGATTCACCCTGACACATATTGTGAAGATTTATAACTTTAGTGAAGTCGCAGGAGAATCCAGGTGGATTTTCGATGTAGAAAAGTCCGAGAGTCCACGTGGGATTTCGATCCGCTGAAGTCATAAAACTTGATAGGTTGTAGACAAAGGGAAGTTAGAGAGCCTCGGTGGGATCTCAACCAGTTGAAGTCATAAAACTCAGTAGATTCTAGTAATAAGAAGTTCAGAGAGCCCCGATGGGATCTCGATCAGTTAATGTCATAGAACCCGATATGTTCTAGATAGAGAAGTCACAGAGCCCCAATAGGATTTCCACCCGTTAACGTCGTAGAACCCAGAAGGTTCTAGACATAGAGAAGTTGGAGAGCCCTAGTGGGATCTCGACCTATTGACGTTATAGAACCCGATATGTTCTAAACATAGAGGAGTTTTGGAGCCCAGTGGGATCTCGACCCGTTGACGTCATAAAATTCAGTGGTTTTAGACATAGAAAAATCATAGAGCCTCACTGAGATCTCGACCCGTTGACGTCATAAAACCCGATAGGTTCTAAACATAGAGAAGTCTGAGAGCCCCAGTGGGATCTCAATCTGTTGACATTATAGAAGTTGGCATGTTATAGACATAGAGAAGTCAGAGAGCCCAGGTGAGATCTCGTCTCATTGACGTCACATAACCCAGTAGGTTCTAGACATAGAGATGTCAGAGAGCTCTAGTGGGATCTTGATTCATTGACGCATCATGGATCTCAGTAGGTTCTAGACATAGACAAGTTGGAGAGCCCCAATGGGATCTCAACCTATTGAAGTTCCGCTTAAATTACGCTAATGCTTGACCTTGTTATTAGAATCGTAATAGCCCATGTGGGTTTTTGAATATTAGTAGTAACCAAATCTTGAGAGACTTAGACGTATATAGGTTGGCAGATCCCGAGCAGATCTTGTTTCATTATTTTTTTAAAGTTTGATCTCCTTGCTTTGCTCAAATACAAATCAAAACAGAACGACCAACCCCAGGCGGATCTTAGCTTATCCTCAACTGAAGTTTGTACCGTATAGATTCAAAACCCCTGGTGGGCCCGTCCTTACTATCAGAGGATCTTTATGAATCTTGACGTATTAAACACAAGCTGACCCAACCCAGGTGGATCATGGTGGATCTCAGTGTATGGCCCAAGATAAGTTAGTCAAAAATCTTAAAGTCAGAAGTATAATAACTTGATCGGGCCATAAGTATGTTAACATAGTCGAGGTGCCAGAGTTATATTAACACAAATTTTTATGGTAATAGGTATATTAACATAACCAAGGAAGAGGCATGTTAACATAGCCAATATGTTCTAGACATAGAGAAGTCAGAGATCCCCAGTAGGATCTCTACCCGTTAACATCATAGAACCCGAGAGGTTTTACACATAGAAAAGTCGGAGAGCCTTAGTTGGATCTCGACCTATTGACGTCATAGAATCTGGTAGTTTCTAGACATAGAGGAGTCGGGGAACCCCAGTGGGATCTCTACCCGTTGATGTCATCGAACCCGATAGGTTCTAGACATAGAAAAATCATAGAGTCTCAGTGAGATCTCGACCCATTGACGTTATAAAACCCGATAGGTTCTCGACATAGAGAAGTCTAAGAGCCCCAGTGGGATCTTGAACTGTTGACATCATAGAGCCTAGTAGGTTATAGACATTGAGAAGTCGGAGAGCCTAGGTGAGATCTCGAACTGTTGACGCCATACAACCCAGTAGGTTCTAGACATAGAGATGTCAGAGAGGCCTAGTGAGATCTTGATTTGTTGATGTCATGGATCTCAGTAGGTTCTAGACATAGATAAGTTCGAGAGCCCTAATGGGATCTTAACCTGTTGAAGTTCCACTTTAATTACGCTAATGCTTGACCTTGTTATTACAATCGTAATAGCCCATGTGGGTTTTTGAATATTAGTAGTAACCAAATCTTGAGAGGCTTAGACGTATATAGGTTTGCAGATCCATGTAGCGGTAGAAATGTTCAAGACTAAGCCATTGGATTGACTAGACTTTATACAAATCAAAAATAAAAATCTCCACCGCGCTTTATTGTTTCCAAAGGAATGGGAAAAGAGAGAATACCCAAAAAAGGGGGAAAGATTCAAGGTAAGGGGGTTGGTTATGCAAATGGAAGATATTAGCACCCTAAACATGTACGGTACTCCGCAGGAACCTCTTTATAAAATCTGTATATTTTGGCTATAAAATGTGTTATATATAAAATGGATGGTGGAGGTGAGAAAAGAAATAAATTTTTTATGATTTTTGCATCCTCTGCGGTTGCGAACCTTTAGTGCCTACGTACCACCTTTCGTGCAATAGGAGATCAGGGTACACGTAGTTCCTATTTTTTAAAATTTGAAACACAAGTGTGTTGGTTAATTTTATGAGATAAGACATCATCGTTATTGTCCGTATGGAAAACAGACTTACTACCCACAATCATGAGAAATGAGAATTTACATCATCTCAAAGTGGAGGATATGGCTTGGATTTTAAAATCAACAATGCCTTACTCAACACCTAAAATATCTCACTTCACTACATATTGTAGAAGTATAGTTGTTTGCATCACTACAAGGATTGACAAGAGTCTAACCTTTTAAGAAATGTTTAAAAGTAAAACCCAAAGTGGCAAAATGGTTTGAAATGAGATTGATTGACTTTTAGTCTTCTCATAAAAAAATGTCAAAGTATTATTAAATTGATTGAAGTTTATTTAGGAAAATGTTTTGAAAATGCGTGGACCTAAGTCCAAGTTTATTATGAAAGTGTTTCAAGTTTAGAAACAAGAAGAGTTTTCAAAAAGAGGGAGAAGATTTTTGAAATTAAAGAAGATGGGAGGAGAAGAAGAGGCTATCCTAAAGCATAAGGTAAAAGCTAAGGATAAGGACCATCTAACCAACAAGAAGCCAAAACTTGACATTATGAGTCAAGATAGAATCCCCATTCTTTAGATTGGAACCAAGCAAGCAAGGATACTAGACCTCTTGAGAGAACCAAACTTCAAGTGTATTAAGTCTTCACAAAAATTGGGCAGAGTAACGGTTGTATATGGGTGAATTTCAGATTACAAACAAAGAGTGTAATCACAATAACCTGCACACAAAACAATCAAACAACCCAATGTCTTGAGGTAAATCTCAAGAGCTCCAGACAAAATAATCAGATAAGGTCACAAGGTCTCCAATCATAGGCCAATGTTTCTAATCCTAAGTCCAAGAAGTCCAACACTCCATAATGCCAAGGATAGTAACCAAATAGTCCAAATAGCATTAAAGATTCTTATGGTTTATGTTGATTATTAAGTATCTTCAAAAAGAAAAGAAAA